CCATCCACTGCCTGCGATGCACAGCCCTTGGCACTGGCAGCAGCAGCCAGCTGAGCCATCAGGGCCATGGCCCACTGCAGGCACCACCCTGTGGTGGAGCGGTGCCATGTGACCCAGGGTCTGCACATGTTAGAGGGAGCTGGCCTACCCTGGCCTAACCCTGCCCAGCCTGTTAGTGTATATGGGCCCCATAGTGACACATCACTACGGGGCTGTGCCTGCAATGAGCCATGGCCCCAGTAACCCCACTGGGTGTTACTGCCAGTGCTGGGGGCTGTGTGCTGCGGAGGGTAAGGTGGGGAGAGGGTCAGGCATGTGGTGGCCTGTGTGAGGGGGTAGGTGTGTGGCAGCCACAAACACCATACCCATACACCCACCTGCACAACCCACACCTCCCACAAACCCCAGAGCCCCTCCACCCCCAGGTCCCTACTTACTGGGGACAGAGCCTGGGTTATATCTACAGCTGCAGCCTTGCCCCATTCCTATTTTCCCTAGCACACTGTGGCAGTGTGCTGGAGGACCAGTGACACAGGGCAGCCATTGATATGCTCTGGTGGGTGCTAGAGCATTTCTATGGTGGACCCAGCCTCCAGTTTCTTCAGGGCATGCTCCAGGAGTGTGGCCTGCACCACTTTTTGTCTGCATGGGTTTTTTATACTGGGATTTCCTGGTATCAGATTTAGAGTCTGTGGCACAAATATGCAGTGTGGGGAACATTTTATTGTTCCCAATGTGCCTCTTGTGGCATCTCCAATTGCTTGGAGATGCCACAACAGGCATGTGCTTGCTTGTCTGGATGCACCCACTAAGTACAGTTAAAAGGAAAGGAGACATACATTCAAGCAGTTTACATGTGTTAAGTACCATTGCAGAGTTGGTGTAGTTGTTCCCTTTCAGGACAGAGTTATCTCCTAAGACCTACTAACTTTAATAGGTCACTACTTTCCAATGATTTACAACTTTTGCAAGTGAATGTGTGCCACCACATTAACACTTATTAACTTCAATACATCACAACATTCCATTGATTTGTGGCAAGTGAATGTGTGACAGGGCTTTTAGTTGGAATTTTTCCATCAGAATTATTTTCTCATTGAAGACGGTTTCTTCTACTAACCTAGCATTTTCTACACAAAACTGACAAGATATTTCCAAGGAGGCATTAGGAAGCCAAAAAGTTCTATTTTGAGTCTCCTGAATTAATTTTTTCCCCAGAAATCCCTTAATGTGAAAGCAATTTGCATTTTTTTTTCCATTCCAACTTGGGATAAAAATAGTTTCAAAAAGGTGACATTTTTTGCAGGAAGAGACTTCTATGTTCTTGGCCTATTTTATTAGGATGCAAACGTCAAACTTAACAAACATAGTTAATTCATAATACTTGGTATTGAAGTTTATTACCTTGGGAATGCTAAGCATCAGCCTACAATTAACAAGCAGTTATGGAAGTGTTTGGAGTGTGAAAAGTCCTTTTTGGTGCCAGAAGAGGATGACTGATTTGTTAGTTATATAACTGGTAGATTTTATCAGATTCTGAGAGCTGCAGATAAAATTATGGTGAGCGTAACTTTTTTGATGCCTGTGGTATTGGTTTTCTTTCTCCTCTATTGCTGCTTGTGCGTCTCATTTCTAGATGGCACATACCAGGTCCATGGGCTGTTATTCACTCAGAGAATTCATTTAATTTCAGTACTGAGAAGAGTTGGAGACTTTGGATCAATTAGAGGTGCTTCAGTTCTTTTCTTGGATTCCCCAGAACAAGAAAAGCTTTGAAAAAGCTTTCCAGTTTATGAATGAAAATGTTGTCCTTTGTGACATCAGTAGTGGCCCATGTCAAATCAGAAAAAAAATAAAAGGCTATTTAGAAAACTGTGGGTAGCAGAATCAAGCACAAGTCTGGACTGGAAATTTTTTAATCTGATCCCCCATACAGAATGTGAAACATGTTTCTAGAAATGCACAACAGAATGAAGGCAGCTAACTTGTTATAGTCTCAGCTGGAAAGTTGGAATTGTTATTACTTATGAAGTGCTTTTTGTCTTGTACAGGTTGCTAGTCAGAGCCTAAGTATTCAAATGTTTGTGTCAGAGGAGAAATAAGTTTTAGTTACAGTCACATTTTCCCCTTCATTTTAAGCAGAATACTGGAAAAAGGCCCAGTTTTTTTTTAAGTGCTCAGTTCAAGTGAGTGGCCTGTATGGCAAGAGGCTTGGATTTTTTTGCTACCAGCACAACTATGTAGAGTTTGAGGAAACAGTCCTGGCACTCTGGCCATGACTGGATTGCTGTAAGTACCAGTGGCAGGTGCACCACACCTGTGCTCTCCCTGAGTACCACTCTGATCCCCTGTCCCTGCCAGGTCTCCCGCTTTGTTTTCTGCTTCCTGCCCTAGCTGCAGCTGTGCTGTCTGTCCCTTCTCCAGTCTCCTGTGTACCACATATAGAAGCAGCCTACAACACTTCTGGCATGTGTGCTGCAGGTAGGCTACCCCTGTGTAAGTGTCTGGTTACTTGGGGTTCAGAGTGTTCAACGCTTCTTCAGCTATGAGAGTCAAATAAGTTGCCTCTGGAGTTAAGGATTTACAGTAGAGGAAGATGGAGGGAAACTCTTGGGATTTCATTAAGTCTATGGAGAAAATATCTAGATAATAAAATAACACCGCTTGTGCTCATGCATGCAACCCCTCTCTAATCACAAACACAAACCAGGCAGTAAGTGGCACATTTAAGATGGCCTAGACTTTATGCACATTCTGGATCTTGGTATTTGAGATATTTCTCTCACTTATTCAGTGGAATTTGGGCTGCAGTCACTTGAGACCACTGTATGTAATATTCTGTCAGCTAAAGAATATAATAGGCTGGCTAACAAAACAAGAAAGGCACAGGTGGCCAAACGGATAGAGATTCCAGAAGCTTTTCTTGGGCCAGGTTTGGGAGGTGCTAAACCATTGTTAAGTACAACATGTTGAAAAACATTTTGCGTGGGTTGGCTCTCAGACACTTTATTGCTGAAAGTTATTTTAAACGGTGAAGTAAAATTTCCATGCTGTTCATTCTTAAGATCTCTATGGGATTTTGAAATATAGGAATGTTTTTAAAAGCTAAAATATCTGTGAAAAAACTGACCACTCAGTATGCATGGCAGACACTCTTAATTTTTATAAATCATGTAAATTCCCCACCTACTTATATAACTGAGATTGGCTATTATGGTAAGATTTTCAAAAGCATTAATGGCACTTAGGTGTCTGTAATAGAGAGCCAGAGGGTTCCTGTTACTTTAAAAAGGCATCAGGCTAAGCTGGCTGCTTGTGTGTGGGAGGTGGGGGCACCAGCAGTAGAAGCACAGGGTGGTCCTTAACTATAAAGAGGAAACTGCCTAGCGTGGCTGGGGAGCCACATGACAGGAAGGGGTGGGACTACAAGGCATATAAGCCCAGGACCTGAGCCAGAGGGGGCGGTCAAACCCTGCATGCTGCAGGGAGAGGAGCCCCTAAGGAAACTGATGGCAGGAAGGAGGCTCCTGGATACCCAAGATACCTGTGAGAGTGAGCCTAGGACTGGGAAGTATAGCTTAGGTGTAGAGTATTGACCCAGAGTGGGGAAGGATTTTGTACAAGCCATCTGCTGATATTTGTTATGCTGATGCAAATGTTTGTTTAGACCTGGAGGACAGGATTGTGGCTATGGAGGAGACGAGGAGGACACAGAGGGGTGCCTGGTAGGGCACTCGGCATTAGGCAGCTCAGTCCAGGGTCTGGAACCAGAGGGCCAAGGGTAGAGACAGTGAGGGTGGCCTAGTCTGGGTCAATGGCCCTGAGGACTGGGGTCAGGAGCCCAGAGTGAGAGGCAAGGGCATGGACCCAGAAGCAGAGGTCCAGGACAGTGGAACTTGGGGCAGGGTCTTGTCATGCTACAGTGTCCCCTTTTGGTATCAGAAGAAGCTAAAGATATTAATGTCATTTATGTTTTTGAAAGCCTACTTTGGCACTGAAATAGTGAAAAAATTTCAGTGCCGAAATTGCCAGGGTCTTAAAGTTTATTATTCAGACTGGAGTCATTGAAAAGTATTTGTTCCTTAGCAAACTTAGTGAGCCATGATGGGCCTAGTCAATGATTTTGCACTGAATGTGAAAGCCAGGGTTTTTTTTTCAGTATCATAGTGAAACCTGTTGAAATTAAGTAGTTATGTTTTGAGGCTTTGGGCTTCCTTTAATTCTGAAGTGAAAAGTAAAACCCAGGTTGAGAGGACAGAGAAAAATGTCCCCCCAAAGTAAAAATACAGGGCTGTCTACTTTCTAGTAAATAGTGGAGAGAAGGTAGGGCCTGCAGGTATCTAGCTGGACATGCACAAGCAACGCTGACATAGTTTGCAGTCACCTTTGCTTGTAAACCCCAGAGACTCTCTGTACTTGTGCTGCTCCAAAGGTTGTAGTTCTTCATTTGGAAGAAGAGGATTGCACTTCAGAAGATAATGCTGATTTTGGTTGTCTTTTAGCATTTGGCTGGATTAGTTATGAAATCAGAATTTTCTTTGGAAGTGTAGTTGACCATTTAAACTCAACCAATTCCTTTTTATGAGCATTTGTGCTAAAAAAAAGTTCCAGTGTTTGAACTAAGTAAATATAAATGATTGTGAATCTGGATCAGCTGATGCCAAATTTTTAAAATAAATATTTGCATCTAGGTTTCTCACTCCTGCACAGCTCTACTAGTGACACAAAGGAAAGAGGAAAGCGGCATGTCAGACAGATTTTTGGATGAGAAAAATCTGTGTTCATGTCAAATTTACAAGGAAACTAATAATGTTTACCCATTTCCCAGTCTTATCAAGAGCTGTGTAATATTAAATAGGATTTGAATTGACAAATGAGATTTAAAAATATCATCTTTTTCCAAAATTTCATAATCATAGAACACTATAAATGGAAAAAAATCTAGTGTTAGTAATCCAGTTAAAAGCACAGTATATTTGTTCAGTGTACAAAAAGCACCTACAAATACAAACTGAAATATTGCTGGTAGATTTGTTTCTTAATATGCATATATTTCTTGCACCACTTGTAAAATAAATAAATAAATAGAAAAAAATAAACCCTTTCCTTAACAATGCAAATCAAATTGACCTTGTTGTTTAGATTTCTTGTTGCAAATATCTTCCTAGTTAGTGTATAATTTATAATAGCCAGTAGAAGAAACTGCAATATATTAGAACTTAGTGTGTACTGAAATACTTTTCCTTCCTGTAACTTTTTCCCCATCAGTACCATTCTCTGAAAACTGATTAGTAAAGAAAGATATAGGCTGAGATGATTATAACGATTTCCATGAGGTGAAAAAAAAAATCTTGCTGGAGTATGTCAACTCAGTTAATAATAAACATTAAATGATAGAAGAAACTTATATTTACAAACCATCTCCTCATGCTGCCATGAATTGCATTAGAGAATGGATGCCAAGGGAAGTTGCTTAGATTCCAAATGCACATGCATATAAATGTGGGGTTGGACTAGTTCCATCAGGGCTTTGATTACAATATTTTCTCTCATTCTTGCAGCTTTACAAAACTCTTGTTTGTTGTGTAAGAGATAGAATTTTTTGTAGGTTTTTTTTTTAAACCAGGAAGTTCCTTCATATTTTGATTTTGGGACTATATCAGTTAAAACACTACGGATGTACAACTCCTGCCTGAGTTCTTGGCTTTCTTGTCAGTTCTTCTGCCATTGAGGTGCTCAGGTAACTTTGGTGGTCACATTAAGAATGACCAAAACCAGCAAATATTACTGAAATCATGACAAATAAAATGTTAATTAACTTTTAAAAATGTTAATAGAATAACAGTAGTTACTAGAGACATATATACAGCAAGGAAAAGATTTTCTGTCCCAGGGTTGAGACCAAGAAATCATGGAATTAAAAAAAAAAAAATATTAGTGAAAGAGATGTATATGTTTCATTTTGAAAAATATCCAACTCTTAAGAAAGAAAATTAAATTGTACTTAACTGGAAAACAGATAACAGTATTAACAACACTTTAATGTTTAAATGACAAAGAAAAACAAATGTACATATCTATAGCCATAATTAAAATAGCAGTATATTTACAAAGCATTAGTGTGACTTGCATGTCTACAGTACAGTAATTGACCTAATTTATCACTTGTTCTGACTTGACATTATGGTTATTGTGAAGCTGCCAGAGGAGCAAGAGTATTCAGCCCTCTAGAGTGCAGATTGTTGACCAGGTTGGCTCATACTCTCCTACTGATAGCCCCTGGTTTTCTTTTGTTTTATGTGCCTCTTCTTTTCAGACTAGACCTGCAACTGTGTGCTAGGGGGTGCTTTAATGATCATTTTCTCATCTTTCAGGCACCACTGCAGTATCACTGTAATATCGTTGCCTCTGGGTTGGAGTTCCGATCTGGAAATGGGGGTACACAGTGAAATCACCAAGTTTGCAGAAGACACCAAATTATTCAGGGTAGTCAAATCCAAAGCTGACAAAGCAGTGGCAGAAAGATCTCACCAAGACAAGTGAGGCTAAGGGCAAACATTTGGGGGGGATGGGCTCAAAATGTCAAAATGGCTACCCAATCTAAAGTTAGATAGGATGGGGGGGGCTATTAGGGGAGGGGCTGGGGACACAGGGGTGGGAGGCAGGCAGACTCAGGGATCAGGGGTCCATGGGAGGATCAGAAGGGGGTGATTGGAGTGGGGAGGAGGGAGCAGACAGCTTCAGGAGCAATCAGTGGGATTGGGATGTAGGTGGCAACTGCGGGGTGGGGCAGGCAGAATCTGTGGGGGGTTGCTGGGGTTGGAAAGGTTTGGCAAGATCAGGGGGGCAGTCAGGGTTCACAGAAAAGCTTGTGGGGGAATTATTTTTAGCCCTCTGACCCCTACCTCCCAATGAACCTACACCCTCACTCCTCCTGCTGCTCCCCCCCCCCACTGATACTTACTTGCTCGGCTTCAAAAGCAGCAGATGCTGATAAAACAAGCAGCAGCTGAAGTGGCATGTAGGATGGGGGGAGATTGGGAGAGGCCTGGCTGGTTCACCTGGGGTGGGGGGACAAGGGACTGGGGGGTCTAGAAATACTTTGGTGCTGGGTTGGGAGATGTAAAAAGGACAGACTCAGGGCTCGGCCCAATGACTGGGTTTTCTAGCCCTGGGGGTGCACAGATAACTTTATAGGAGTTCCATGCTCCAGTCTAACCTAGATTGAGTGGACAAGGAGGTAAAAAGCACCCTGTTCAAATTCGCAGATGACACCAAGATGTGGGGGGAAGTGGGCATGCTAGAAGAGAAGAATAGGCTGCAATCAGACCTAGACAGGTTACAGGGGTGGGCGGATGAGAACAGGATGGATTTCAACGCTGACAAGTGAAAGGTACTGCACCTGGGGAGGAACAACCGACACCATACCTACAGGCTGGGGAACTCCCTTCTCATCAGCGCAGAGGCAGAAAAGGATCTTGGAGTCATCACTGATGCCAAAATGAACATGGGCCGACAGTGTGGGGATGCAGTCAGGAAGGCCAACCGCACCTTGTCATGCATCCACAGATGCATCTCAAGCAGGTCCAAGGAGGTGATCCTCCCCCTCTATGCAACACTGGTCAGGCCACAGTTGGAGTCCTGCATCCAGTTCTGGGTGCTACACTTCAGGAGGGATGTGGACAACATGGAGAGGGTCCAGAGGAGGGCCACTTGCATGATCAGGGGGCAGCAGGGCAGGCCCTATGAGGAGAGGCTAGCAGACCTGAACCTGTTCAGCCTCCACAAGAGAAGGCTGAAGGGGGATCTAGTGGCCATTTACAAACTAGTCAGAGGGGACCAGCAGGCATTGGGGGAGTCCCTGTTCCCCCGAGCACTACCAGGAGTGACTAGAAATAACCGTCACAAGCTGGCAGAGGGTAGATTCAGACTAGACATCAGGAGGCTCTATTTCACGGTCAGGGCGGCTAGGATCTGGAACCAACTTCCAAGCGAAGTGGTGCTGGCTCCTACCCTGGGGGTCTTTAAGTGGAGGCTAGATGACGACCTTGCTGGGGTCATTTGACCCCAGTACTTTTTCCTGCCAAGGCAGGGGGTCGGACTTGATGATCTGCTCGGGTCCCTTCCGACCCTACAAACTATGAAGATCAGGTGACCATTTTGAACCTGATCTAACGCCCCTTACCTCAACCCCAAAAAGATGTCTGCACTTAGCTTTAGTGGGCATAAAAATGGCAGATGAACTTCAGTGTTGACAAGTGCAAGATAATGCACATGGGGGAAAAATAACCTCAATTAAACATACACAATGCTGGGTTCTGAACTAGCTGTTATGACTCAGTAAAGTCATACTATTGTAGGTAGCTTTCTAAAAACATCAGTTCAGTGTGCAATGGTGACCAAAAACCTAATAAAAATGTGGGCATCATTTAAGAAAGGAATTGAAAACAAAACAGTATCATTATGCCATTATACAAATCCAGCTTTACAATAAGCTTAATGTAAAGTCAGAATAAGTGATAAATTAGGTCAAATACATCTGGAATACTGTGAGCAGTCCTGTTCTCCATATCTCAAAAAGGATGAAGTAGAATTCAGAAATGTACATAGATTCTAGGGTCGGAAGGAACCTCAGTGGGCCATCTAGTCCAACCCCCTGCCCCTGGCAGGCAAGAAAAGAGTCACTAACCCTGAGATCATGTTATCCCAGCCAGGTGCCTGACAAGTCTCCTTCTGAAGACCCCCAAGGATGGGGTGAGCACCACCTCCCTTGGGAGCCCATTCCAGATTCTAGCAATCCTGACCGAGAAGAACTTTCTCCTAATGTCCACCCTAAACCTTCTCTCTAGTAGCTTATGGCCATTGTTCCTTGCCATTCCAGGGGGTGCCCTGGTAAACAGATCATCACCTACTTCATGTTGCTCTCCCCTTATGAAGTTGTATGCCACCACAAAGTCCCCTCTCAGCCTTCTCTTGGAGAGGCTGAAGAGGCTAAGGTCTCTTAGCCTTTCCTCATAAGGCCTTCTCTGCAGGCATCAAATCAGGTGAGTGGCCTATCTTTAGACCCTCTCCAGGTTGTCTGCATCCCACTTGAACTGTGGCATCCAGAAGTTGACACAGTACTCCAGCTGCAGCCTGACCAGTGCTGCATAAAGAGGGAGAATCACTTCCCTGGACCTGTTTGTGAAGCAACTACACATGCACAAGGTGCGAGTGGCTCTGCCAACTGCTTCATCAGATTGGTGACTCATGTTCATTCTGGAGTCTACAGTGACTCCAAGATCTTTTTCTGCCTCAGTGGAGCTGAGACGTCACCCCACAGCCTGTAGGTATGATGGCAGTTCTTCTTCCCTAGATGCAGCACCTTGTACTTGTCCTTATTGAATTGCATCCTGTTGCTCTCTGCACACTTCTCTAGCCTGTCTAGCTAGGCCTGGATCTGGTTCTTCCTCTCCAGGGTGATAGCTGCACCCCATAATTGTGTAGTCCGCGAAATTGGACAGGATGCTTCCCACCCCCTCATCCAGATCACTGATGAAGATGTTGAACAGCACCGGCCCAAGAACTGAGCACTGAGGGACTCCACTGCCCACATCTTTCCAGGTTGACACCGATCCACCCACTACCACTGTCTGAGTGTGACTCTTGAGCCAATTTGCTACCAATTATACCATGTAATCATCCAAGGCAAATCCCCACAGTTTATTTATAAGGATGATATGGGATACCTTGTTAAAGGCCTTCTTGCAGGAGTAGAGGTGGATGTTATTTATCTGGACTTCATCTGAACATTTGGTGGCCTTGTAGTAAAAGGAAACTAGGTTAGTTAAGCAGGACCTGCCTGCTAAAAACCCATGTTGGTTACCCCTCCGCATCACATTAATCAGCAGGCTCCCACAGATGTGCTCCTTGATAATTTTTTCTAGGATTTTCCCCATAAGACTGACTGGTCTGTAGTTCCCTGGGTCCTCCTTCCTCCCCTTCTTAAAGATTGGGATGACGTTAGCCCTCTTCCAATCCTCCACAACCTGACCCGAGCACCATGAGCGCTCATATATCCTTGCCAGTGGATCAGCTATGACCCCTGCTAATTCCTTCATTACCCGTGGGTG